AGCAGCAGCAGCAGCAGCAGCAGCAGCAGCAGCAGCAGCAGCAGCAGCAGCAGCAGCAGCGGGCGCTCGGCGGGCCCGGCGAGGCGCCGGCCTCGCCGGCTTCCCCGGCCTCCGCGCCGCCTTCGCAGCAGCAGCAGCAGCAGCAGCAGCAGCAGCCGCAGCAGCAGCAGCTGCTGCTGCTGCTGTGCGGCGTGCTGGAGAGCGCCCCGAGCGAGGCCGTGCAAGTAATGGTCAAGGAAACTTTGCTGCGGGTGGTCTGCAGCCTCAACATGGAGTTGCCGGAAAAAGACGAAGTCAACACTTTGTTCTTCGACAGGGGGGCTCTGGACGCGCTGCTGCGGCTGCTCTTCAAGCCCGTGACCACTGACATGACCACTGGTCTGCTGCTGCTGCTGCTGCTGCTGCTGCTGCTGCTGCTGCTGCTGCTGTTGTTGTTGTTTTCCTGCTGCGGAGGCGGAGGTAGAGGCGCTTGGGTAGCAAGCAGCTTTGCTGCTGCGCGCTGCGGGGGAGGGGGTCGACGGACCGACCGCGTGCTGCTGCTGCTGCTGCTGCTGCTGCTGCGCTGCTGCTGCTGCTGCTGTTGTTGTTGCTGCTGGCGTTGTTTTTCCTGCTGTGGAGGTTGCTGCTGCTGCGCTTGGTTAGCAGCTGCGCTGCTGCGGGCTGCGGAGGAGGGGGTCGACGGACCGACCGCGTGCTGCTGCTGCTGCTGCTGCTGCTGCTGCTGCTGCTGCTTGTGGGGCGTGTTCAGCTGAGCAGCAGCTGCTGCAGCACGCGAAGCAAATGGTCCTCGAGATCTTTTCGCACTGCGTGGCGGTCCACAGGTGATTATCAAATTGCGCTAGCTGCTGCTGCTGCTGCAGTCTCTTGCTGCTGCGTTGCTGCCGCAGCCGTCAGCAGTCCTTCACCCCTTCTGCTGCTGCAGCTGCTGCAGCTGCTGCTTCTGCTGCTGCTGCAGCCTGTGTCACCATCGCGCTTTTCCCTCTCCCCACTCACTTTCTTGCATCTTTTCCGCTGCACAACTGCGCTGCTGCTGCTGCCGCTGCTGCTGCTGCCGCTGCTGCTGCCGCTGCTGCTGCTGCTGCTGCCGCTGCTGCTGCTGCCGCTGCTGCTGCTGCTGCTGCGCAGGCACCGCTTCAAGCTGCGGATCCTGCGGGACAGCGTGCCGCTGCGGAGTTTGCTGACAGCTTTAACTCCTTCTTTCGACAAGTTTTTGTCTCTTTTTGCTGTCAAGTTTCTCAAGGCCTGCATAGCCCTCAGAGTCAGCAGCAGCAAACTTGCTTTTTCTGTTTGCTGCTGCTGTTGCTGCTTCCTGTCTTTTGTCTTTTGCTGCTTCTGTTTGTTTCTTTTTCTCCTTCTTTTTTATTTCTTTTTTATTTTATTTTATTTTTCTTTTCCCGCGCTGGTTTGTCTCCTTTAGCTGCTGTTGCAGCAGCAGCAACTGCTGCCTCCGCTTGCATCTATTTGCTTCTTCGTCGCAGCAGCAGCAGCAGCAGCAGCAGCTCTGCTGCTGCTGCTGCTCGCATTGTGCTGCAGTCTGCGCGTCTGGGTTTAATATTCCTTTGTTGTCTCTTCTTCGTTTTTGTTTCATTTTTTTTCTTTTTTTGTTTTATTTTTCCGTTTTTGATGCCCTTTTGTTGAATATTTGTTTTATTTCTCTTTTTTATTTCAATTGTTTTCAATTTCTTTCCAAATTGTCTTTTTTTTCTTTTTTTTTCTTTTTTTTCTTTTTTTAGGATCCTTACGTGGACAAGCATTTGGTGAAGACGAAGGTTTTGCGGCCCCTGATATGGATGCTGAAGGTGCATTTTTGCTTTTGCGTCTTTGAAGTTTTTTGGCGAAACTTTTCTCGATTTTGATTCTTTTTTTTTCCAATTATTTCTTTCTTTCATTTATTTCCTTTTCGTCTTTAAATTGGCTTTTTCCGCGCTACAAATCCCTCATTTTGGTCCATTATAGCTGCTGCTGCTGCTGCTGCTGCTGCTGCTGCTGCTGCTGCTGCTGCATGCGCTGCTGGGGTGTACGTACACCGCGCGCAGCGGGCCCGCTTTTGCTGCATGCAGCGCATGCAAAAAGGCCCCAGCGCATGCAAAAAAGCCCCAAAACAGCAGTTTAGAGTTTGCAGACTTTAAGAGTTGTGTGGCGCAGTGCATGCGGCGCGTGCGGTGTACGTACACTGGAGCGCGCGGGCGAGCCGGCGCGCGCGCTGCTGCTGCTGCTGCTGCTGCTGCTGCTGCTGCTGCTGCTTGGGGAGCGTTGTGGGGTCAAACTGCTTCGTTTTTTTTGCTTTTTCTGTTTTCAGGAAGACTTTTTGTCCCCTTCTTCTTCTTCTCGTCGACTCGGAGGTTCTTTGCTTTCTTGCGCAGTTTTGGACTGTCTTTCTTTCTTATGTCCTTCGGGGCTGCCGCTGTCTGTGGGGCCCCTGCCTGTACACCTGGGCGGCCAGGGCTGCGCCCTTGTTGCTGCTCTTTTCGAAGACCCCTTAACTGCTGCTTGGATTCAGCAAATCGAAGCTGCTGCTGCCAAACAAAGAAAAAACCCCTGCCTCGTCTTCCGCGTCAGCTGCTGCTGCTGCTGCTGCTGCAGTCGCTGCTCCTGCTGCTCCTGCTGCTCCTCCTGCTGCTGCAGGCACAGCTGCTGCTGCTGCTGCAGTCGCTGCTGCTGCTGCTCCTCGTGCTGCTGCAGGCACAGCTGCTGCTGCTCTTGCTGCTGCTCCTGCTGCTGCAGTCGCTGCTGCTGCTCCTTCTGCTGCTCCTCGTGCTGCTGCAGGCACAGCTGCTGCTGCTCCTGCTGCTGCAGTCGCTGCTCCTGCTGCTCCTGCTGCTCCTCGTGCTGCTGCAGTCACAGCTGCTGCTGCTCTTGCTGCTGCTCCTGCTGCTGCAGTCGCTGCTCCTGCTGCTCCTGCTGCTCCTCGTGCTGCTGCAGGCACAGCTGCTGCTGCTCTTGCTGCTCCTCCTGCTGCTGCTGTCGCTGCTGCTGCTCCTGCTGCTCCGCCTGCTGCTGCAGGCACAGCTGCTGCTGCTCCTGCTGCTCCTCCTGCTGCTGCTGTCACTGCTGCTGCTGCTTCTCCTGCTGCTGCTGCCGCTGCTGCTGCTGTCGCGGCGGCGGCGGCCGCTGCTGCAGGGGGTGGCGCTGTGTTGCGCGTCCTGGTGCTCTGCTGCTGCTGCTGCTGCTGCTGCTGCTGCTGCTGCTTAGCTGAGGGGTTTGCTGCTTGTGAGGCGCGCAGGATCTGAGGGTTTTCTACTGCGGCTCAAGAATGTCAAGGAGACAGGAAACAGCTGGCAGCAGCAGCAGCAGCAGCAGCAGCGAACTGCCGCAAGCGGAGGCGGAGCAGCAGCAGGCCTTCAGCAGCCTCGGCAGACTCATCAGGGCTGACCCCCATGTAAACCCTCAGCTGCCAGCAGCCAGTTTTAGGGTTTAGGGTTTAGGGTTTGGGGTTTAGGGTTTAGGGTTTGGGGTTTAGGGTTTAGGGTTTAGGGGCGCTTTCTTTCAGAGACAAAATGTAGACGATGATGACTCGTGGTTTTACAACGTGAAAGATGACGACTCTCCCACAGAGTCCTCGACGACCACCCGCGGGTAAACCCTAAACCCTAAACCCTAAACCCTAAACCCTAAACCCTAAGCCCTAACGGCGTCCCTAACCGTAAACTCTGAAGGAACTGCACAACTACAGTCGCCGAGTGGACTGGGGAGGTGACGGGCTTCGACTCAGCGTGCTGCCACAAAAGGTTTAGGGTTTAGGGTTTAGGGTTTAGGGTTTAGGGTTTAGGGTTTGGGGTTTGGTTTCCAGGCCAAGGCTATCTCTCGTCGATGGCTACGATGATGATGATGATCAGCAGCAGCAGCAGGGGAACGCCTCGGGCACGGACTTGTGGGCGGGGGACAGCAGCAGCAGCAGCAGCGCAGCAGCAGCAGCAGCAGCAAACCGGCTCAAGATAAGGCGGCGGCGACGTCGCCCGCTGCGGGGGGACGGAGACAGCAGCAGCAGCAGCAACAGCAGCAGCAGCAGCAGCAGCAGCGACGAGGAAAAGCGGCCGCTCCCAAAGCCGACTGCCCTTATCGGCGGCAGCAGCAGCAACAGCAGCAACAGCAGCAGCAGCAGCAGCAGCGTGGACCTAGATGGTAGCCCCACAGAGGACTCCTTACTTAGTGTCTTCCCAGAGAAGATTGCTGCTGCAGCAGGAGGCCCGGGGGGAGGGGCCTCACTGAGTCCCCGTTCTGCAGCAGGAGCAGCAAAAAAGAAACGGATTGCTGTCAAGATAGGGTGCGCTGCTGCTGCTGCTGCTGCTGCTGCTGCTGCTGCACTTTATTAGCTGCCACAGCACTGCAGCGGCCAAAAGCGGCTTCGGACAGGCCTGGACGGCTTTTGTGGCTGCTGCAGCTGCTGGTGCCGCTGCTGTTCCCGTTGTTGCTGCTGCTGTTCCTGTTGCTGCTGCTGCTGTCATTGTTGCTGCTGCTGTTCTTGTTGCTGCTGCTGCTGCTATCATTGCTGCTGCTGCTGCTGTGGGGAGGAGAGGCCTGGGTTTGCTTTTGGCGCTGTGTCTGCTGCAGCACCAGGCCCGCGTCTAGCGAAGACGACGGAGGCAAAAGCCCCAGCAGCAGCCCCAGCAGCAGCAGCAGCAGCAGCAGCAACAGCACCACGAGCAGCCCCACATTCTCTCCGGAAGGCGGCGGAGGCTCCGATACTGCAGCAGCAGCAGCAGCAGCAGCAGCAGCAGCAGCCGCGGCAGCAGCAGCAGCGGCAGCAGCTTCCGGCACCAAAAGCGAAGAACGAAGAAACAAGGGCTCTTCTGAAGCAGCAGAAGGCGAGGGGGAAGCTCTTTCTGAAGGTGCGCTGCAGCTGCTGCTGCTGCTACTGCTGCTGTTGTTGCTGCTGCTGCTGCTGCTGCTGCTGCTATTCGAGTCTTTGGGCAGTAATAAGTTTGGCATTTTTGCATGCATTTGGCAGCTTATTTATTAAAGTGCTGCTGCTGCATGCATGCTGCGGCTTTCGCAGGCGTGCAGCTGCTGCAGCGAGTGCTGCAGCAAGCTGGGCTTGGCGGGGGAACTGCTGCTGCTGCTGCTGCAGCAGGGGGAGAAGCAGCAGCAGCAGACTCGCAAACTGCTGCCACTAAAAACGGCAACGCTCGTCAGCTGGACTTCCTTAAAGATCTGCTGGAGGAAGATGACAGCGACGAGGAGGCGGCTGCTGCTGCTGCGCCTGCTGCTGCTGCTGCACCTGCTGCTGCTGCTGCTGCTGCAGAGGCAGCACCTGCAGAGCCTAAGCGGAGGCGCATTAATTAGTGGGCAGGAGCAAGGATCAGCAGCAGCAGCAGCAGCAGCAGCACTGCTGGCACGAGCAGCAGCAGGAGCTGCGGGAACCAACAGCATCAACCCTACTGGCAGCAGCATTTGCTGCTGCTGCTGCTGTTTGCGTAGCAGCAGCGAATCCGCTTCTGCTTCCCAGCAGCAGCAGCAGAAAGCAGGAGGCCGTATTACTGCAGCAGCAGCTGCGGCATTGTTTGACTCAGAAAACTTGGGGGTGACCAGTGGTCACCTCGCGCAGCTAACTGTATAGACCATCAGAAGCAGCAAAAAGCAGCAGCAAACAGAAGCAGCAAAAAGCAGCAGCAAACAGAAGCAGCAAAAGGAGCAGCAGCAGACTGCAGCGCAGCGCAGAAGCATGCAGCCAGCAGCAGAAGCCTCAGAAGCGGCAGCAGCTGAACAGCAGCTGCAGCGCGGCTTGCTGCAGCGCTTCAGGTGTACATACACCGCAATTCTCGCAGCCCCAAGTGTACATCCACCTTGCCCATTAGCAGCAAACCTATCCTAAAGAATGGGGGGGCCCCCTGCAGCTTCGGGGGGCCCCCAGAAAGACTAATTTAGGGTCTTCTCTGGGGCCCCCCGGGGGCCCCCAGCTCTAGATTTGCTCGGGGGGCCCCCCTGAAGGGTGGGGGGGCCCACTGGGGCCTCCCAGGGGCGGTGTAGGGGGCCCCCAGGTTCCCCAGAGTCTGAGGGGGGCCCCCGGGGGGCCCCCGAGCTCTAAGGGTTGCGGAAAAAGTTGTTAAGAAGAGGTTTGCTGAGGGGGAGGGCCAGAGACGGGGCTGTGGCTGTTTTTGGGCGCAGTTGAATTGCACTCTGAGGTGTCTAGACACCTGAAGTTCCGCTAGGGCTGTCCCGGAGCTGCTGCTGGCGGCGCTGCTGCAGCCGCTCCGAGAAAAGTGTCTTAATTTAGTGTCTAAAAGAACTAATTAGGGTTTTAAAAACAAAAATGCGTTTAAATTAAGTCCAGATGCTGCACTCTGCATGCGCAGGGGCAACTGACTCGGGCTGCAAGCTGCGCCTGACGGCTGTCTGTACACCGCAGCGAAAGCGCTGCAAACCCGAATGCGCAAAAGCCTTTTGTGAAATTCATTTATTTAAAATCATTTAATTCCGAGTGAAGCAGCAGCGGCTGCTGCTGCTGCTGGGGCGTTTCTGCAGGAACCAGGGGTCAGGCTGCTGCTGCTCCGGAGTCGCTGCTGCGGAGGCCTGGGTTGCGCTGCGCCGCAGCTCTTTTTGCAATTTAAAGCAATTATAAAAGTAAATTAACTTTAATTTATAAAAGTAAACTTCTTTTATTCCATTTAAGAGCCAGTCGAGGTGCAGCAAGCGCGAACACAAGCCAGTCAGCAGCACCCGGAGCTGCTGGTCCAGTGGTCAGGGGGGCCCCGGAGGCTTGGGACTGTCTATTAAGTTGGTTTTGTCCGCGTTTAAATCCCCTTTTTCAATTTCTGTTTCTTTTTTATTATTATTTTTATTATTTATCAACAAATTAACGGCGAAAAGTCCCGGGGGCGCCTCCAGCGCCGAGTGCACAGCCACTCTTAAGGAACCCGCAGCAGCTGCAGGGCCGCGGCGCTGCGCCTTTTGCTGCAGAGCTCTCCCGCTGCTCTCCTGCCCCATTGCCCACAGCAGCAAGTCTCCGGCCCTGGGGCAGGCGCTGCAGCAGCAGCAGCAGCAGCAGCAGCAGCAGCAGCAGCAGCAGCAGCAGCAGCAGCAGCAGCAGCAGGGAGCCTCGGGTGCGGCTGCGGCTCAGCGCCTAGCGTTGGGGGCGCAGCAGCAGCGGGAAGCCCCGAGGGGAGTTGTCTGCAGGTTTGCTGCTGCGGGGGCGCTGCTGCGGCGCTGCCCAGGCGCCAAACCCCAAACCCTAAACCCTAAACCCTAAACCCTAAACCCTTTGCTGCAGCCCCTCCCTGCTGCAGCACAGCCAAATGGGGGAAGAAGGAAGGTCTCAGTCCCTCCCCTCCGCCGCAGAGCCCCAGGCCTTTCGAACTGCAGCAACACCAGAGCCCCAGCCAGTGTGGGGCCCCTCGGGGCTTTCCCCGGGGGCCCCCGGGGGGCCCCCCGCAGTTCTTTCGCCTGCGGGGGCCCCCCCCGCGGCCTCTGGGGGGCCCCCTGCAGCAGCGCTGGCAGCAGCAGCAGCAGCTGCTGCTGCTGCTGCTGCTGCTGCAGCAGGGAGCGGCGCTGCGGGGGGGGCCCTCACGGAAAGGGGGCCCCCAGAAGCCGCAGGAGAAGGGGGGCCCCCTGCTGCGGGTTTTGCTGCTGCTGCGGAAGCCCCGCAGGGCCACGGGCCCGCAGCTTCCCGTGGGGGCCCCCAAAGTGCGCTGCAGGCGCTTCTAGGCAGCAGCAGCAGCAGCAGCAGCAGCAGCAGCAGCAGCAGCAGCAGCAGCAGCAGCAGCAGCGTTGGGGATGCAGGGCAGTCCGGTGGGGGGAGCCGAGAGGCGGGGCCTAGCGGGTATTCGACTGCGGAGGGGAGCAGCAGCCGGGTGGAAGGGAGCAGCAGCAGCAGCAGCAGCAGCGGGATGGACGCGAGCCCGAGCCCGAGCTGGAGCAGCAGCAGCGGCAGCAGCAGCAGCAGGAGCTTCGCGCTGAGCGGCGCGGACCCCGCAGGCGCTGCTGCTGCTGCTGCTGCCGCCGGAGCGGCAGGCGCCGCAGCAGCAGCTGCTGCGCGGGGCGCGCGCGCAGCAGCAGCAGCAGCAGCGGAGGAGAGCAGCAGCGGGAGCAGCAGCGACGGCGCCGCTGCTGCTGCGCCGCAGCAGCAGCAGCAGCAGCAGCAGCAGCAGCAGCAGCGCAGCAACCCCACCTTGGGGCTGCATGCATCCAGCGTTGTTGTGCCCCTCGAAAGAGCAGCAGCGCTGCTGCGCTGCAGCCAAAAAGCCCTCGCAAAAGACATTTCTGTGGTTTTGGCTTTTATTAAAAAAAAGCTGCAGCAGCAGCTGCTGGCAGCAAACTCGCCGCAGTTCCAACTCGACAGACTCGACCTCGTCGTCCAAAAAGTCAAAAACATCAAACGCAGGGTCCGCGCGCTCCTGCTGCTGCTGCTGCTGCTGCTGCTGCTGCTGCTGCTGCTGCTGCTGCTGCTGCTGTTCTTGTTGCTGCTGCTGTTGCTGCTGTTCTTGTTGCTGCTGCTGTTGCTGCTGTTCTTGTTGCTGCTCTTGCTGCCTCTCTTGCTGCGGCTGCTGTTGCTGCTGTTGTTCTTGCTGCTGCTGTTGCTGCTGCTGCTGCTGCTGCTGTTCCTGCTGTTGCTGTTGCTGCTGCTGCTGCCGTTGCTGCTGCTAGTGGCGATGCCGGTGGTGCCTGCCGCTTGGCGCCTCGCCGTGTTGCTGCTGCTTTTGCTATTGCAGTGCTGCCTCTGCCGCCGCTGCTGCTGCTGCTGCTGCTGCTGCGAGACCTCCCAGCTAAGGCCCCTGTGGCTCCGCAGCAGCAGCAAAAGGTGCCGCTGCAGCAGCAGGTCCTGTTTGTTTTCTCAGACAGAAAAAGCAGCAGCAGAAGCCACGGGAGAACTCGAGAGGTGCAGCAGAAGGCTGAAGGTTTTGGCTGAAGAGCCTGACTTGCAGGAGGCGCAGCTGCGGGTTCGCCCTAAACCCTAAACCCTAAACCCTAAACCCTAAACCCTAAACCCTAAACCCTAACCCTAAACCCTGGTGCGTGGATTCTAGGTTTGTGCGAGGAGACACAAAACCCCCAGGAAAGCCTCAGCCTCTTGTTTTGGCTGTGGCTGCCGTGCTGGCCTTTTGCTGCATAGTTTCTTTTGCTGCGTGCCTGGCCACTCTTTGCTGCTGCTGCTGCTGCTGCTGCTGCTGCTGCTGCTGCGTGTCGCTGGGCCTCGCTGCTGCTGGTGGCAGCGCCGCCTGCGTCTCTATGTGTAGCCTCTGGTGGCTTCTTCTGCTGCAGCCTTCAGCAGCAGCAGCCGCTGGGCCGCTGCTGCCGCTGCTGCTGCCGCTGCTGCCGCTGCTGCTGCTGCTGCTGCTGCTGCTGCTGTCGCCGGCTGGGGCTGCCGCTAACTGCTGCGGGTCTGTTTGCTGCAGGACTGCAGCCTTCGCACTTCGCGCTGCACATCAACTGCGCACTTTTGGAGTACTTAAGTAGAAGTGGTTTCAAGTCGACGGCTTCGAGGACTGCGCAGCTGCTGGGCCTCCAGGTGTACATACACCGCAGCCCAGGGGCCCCCAGCTAGCTGCAGACGCAGCAGCAGCTAGCTAGCCGTTGCCTCGCCACCAGCTCGCCAGCAGCTAGCTAGCCACTGGCTATCCAGCAGCTAGCTCCACGGCTAGCTAGCTGCTGCAAGCTGCTGGCTAGCTGCTGGCTAGCTGCTGGCTAGCTGCTGGCTAGCTGCTGGCTAGCTGCTGGCTAGCTGCTGGCTAGCTGCCCGCACAGGCAGCTAGCGAGCCTCCTGGGAGCAAGGGGCTCAGCTAGCTGCTGCTGAGGGCGAGGCAGCTGCGACCACTTTTGGCTAGCTAGCTGTTTAGCCGTTCCCAGCCTAGCTAGCCAGCCGCCTGCATAGCTAGCTAGCTAGCTAGCTAGCTAGCTAGCCTAGCTAGCTGGGCGCAGCTAGCTACTTGCCCAGATGCCTGGTGGCTGGCTGGCCAGCTAGCGAAGCCGCCATGCCCTCCTCACTCAACTGGCCGCTGCTGCTACTCCTGCTGCTACTACTGCTACTGCTGCTGCTGCTGCTGCTGCTGCTGCTGCTGCTGCTGCAGGACTTTTGGGACGGCGAAGTCCACGGGGAAGTTGCTGCTGTAGTCGACGCGCTGCTGAGCGACTCCACAGCAGAGGCTCTGGCCTGGATAGAGACGCACAGCGCGAAGCTCCGAAAACTCAATGTAAAGAGACCTGCTGCTGCTGCTGCTGCTGCTGCTGCTGCTGCTGCTGCTGCTGTTGCTGTTGCTGCTGGCTTTGTTTCTGCGGGCGCTGTTGTGGGTGGGGGTGGCGCTGCTGCAGGTTCTCCTGCTGCTGTTGGCTTTGCTGGTGCGTGTGCTGTTGCTGCTGCTGCTGCTGCAGCTGTGGCTGTGGCTGACTTTGCTTCTGCGGGACTGTTGCTGCTGCTGCTGTTGCTTCGGGCACTGTTGCTGCTGCTGCTGTTGCTTCGGGCAGTGTTGCTGCTGCTGCCGTTGGTGCTGCGGGTGCAGTTGCTGCTGCTGCTCATGCTGCTGCTAGGGCAGCTGACTTATCGATCTGCTGCTGCGTCTGAAAACTCTTCGTCGCTGGCGGTGCTGTTGTCTCTGCTACTGCTGCTGCTGCTGCTGCTGCTGCTGCTGCTGCTGCTGCTGCTGCTGCTGCTGCTGCAGAGTTCTTTAGAGACGGAAGTGCGCATGCAGCACGCGATAAACCTGCTGCGGAAGAAGAAGCCAAGAGAAGCCGTGAAGTATATTAAGGAGCACATCAAGCCAGGCGATTTGGGTACTTCGCTGCCCCCCCTAAACCCTAAACCCTAAACCCTAAACCCCAAACCCTAAACGCTAAACCCTCAGCTCCAGACTTTGCGGGGCTGTGCGCCTGATAGAGAAAGGCCAGAATGAGCTGCAATGGCGGGCTGCCGGCTGGCCGCTGCACTGCCCGCTGCTGCTGCCGTTGCTGCTGCTGTTGCTGCTGTTGCTGCTAGTGCTGCTGCTGCTGCTGCTGCTGCTGCTGCTGCCAGTGCAACTGCTGCTGGCATCGCGGCTGCTGGAGCTCGTCGCCTGATGAGTGTCTTTTCTGCAGGAGCGCTGCAGAGTGTGAATTGCTGCCTTTTGACCTGCGAAGCCTGTTGCTGCTGCTGCTGCTGCTGCTGCTGCTGTTGCTGCTGCTGCTGCTGCTGCTGCTGCTGCTGCTGCTTTGCGCAGAGCGCTGCCCAGACATCCGCCGGGTGCTGGCCCTCGCAGCGATGCTGGACTTCCCCCCGCCGGAGTACGAAGTAAGCAGCTGCAGCGCAGGCCCGAGTGCCGCAAACCCTAAACCCTAAACCCTAAACCCTAAACCCTAAACCCTGAACCCCAACCCTAAACCCTAAATACTGAGCGCAAAACCCTAAACCCTATACGCAAAATTGTGATCCCTGAACCCCAAACCCTAAACCCCAAACCCTAAACCCTAAACCCTAGAGGCAAACCCTCGGGGGGCGGGCTGCTGCTGCTGCTGCTGCTGCTGCTGCTGCTGCTGCTGCTGCTGCTGCAGCACCTGCTGGGAGAGGAGAGGAAGCAGCAGCTAGTGCGGCTGTTCATAACCACTAGTGCTGCTGTCTTGGGAATGACTCGAGAGCCTTTGCTGCCGCCTTTAGTGTTTTCGGGCCTTTGCGCAGTCAAGTCTGGCGCCTGCCTCGAGACTGCGGCCCCCAGGTGGGCCCCCGCCAAACCCTAAACCCTAAACCCTAAACCCTAAACCCTAAACCCTAAACCCTAAACCCTGGTCCCGCAGCGCAGCCCTAAGCCCGCGAACGCCAGCCTTTCCTTCCCCCCAGCCTAAACCCCAGTAGTCCCAAGCCGCTGCGCTGACCGGCGCAGCAGCAGCGCAGCACAGCGCAGCAGCAGCAGCAGCAGCAGCAGCAGCAGCAGCAGGGGCCCCACACTTTGTGGCTGCAGCTGCCCCGCCTGCCTGCCCGAACTCGCGGAAGTGGTCAGGGCCCTCCCAATGCCCCATCGCATGCGCAGCAACATCATTTGCTGCGTCACTGGAGAGCCCATGGTGAGTGGGGTTGTTGTTATTTGCTGCAGCAAATAGTGGTGGGGTTGCTGTTATTTGCTGCAGCAAATAATGGTGGGGTTGTTGTTAT